CTGGTTTACGAAAAGTAATACTATTAATTGATTGTAATGTTACTCTTGTTTTGCTATGGGCACTTGCTACTAAAAAAGCAAGTTCAGTAGCAACACGCATCAAATAACCACCAAAAACAGTATTATGTAAATTTCGATCCTAAAATTATATTAAAAATTAGTATAAATAACATAGTATTATATTACTTGTTAAATGTATAATTTACTTCAGGATGACAAAGAATGTTAGTCTCAAGCATAGTATCATCCATCCACACACTATTTTCTGGTAATACTTTATTACCAATTATGGGCTCTTTTCTATCAACTGTTTTCATAAATGCGTCATATATAAGTGATTGTTCTTCTGGTGTTGGCATTTTATTCAATATTGAGTTTTGACGAGCCCTTTTTCTATCTTCGTTTTTTTCTAAATCAAAAATTTAATTAATCCAATCAATAAAACATGAAGTTTATGTGTGTTTAAAAACATCAAATTTTGTATTTACTTGCAGAAAGAATCATTAAATTTTTTTCGCGCTCTCCTACTGGTACTAAATTATTTACCATGACCGATGATTTATTTGTTGGATCTCTAGCAACAAATACGAAATGAGCTCTAGTAATTCGCTCACATTTATCATTATTGAATTGTTCCAGCCATAAAGTAACCTCTAATGAAGTTTTTCCAACATGAGTTACTTGACCACTTAAAATTAAATCTTTATCTGGCTAAAATAAAAAAATCTTGATAATTATTTTTTTATTTTTTTTATTTTAAACAAAAATATTAGCTTACAAATCGATTAGCATTTATGACAACATCATCTACTAGTAATGTCACAACAACGTATGGTGTTGGAACATCTAGTGGTTGCAGTGGATTATAAATGTGCTTCATAACAATCCAAACTAAAATTATAAATAATAATATTAATTATTTTTTAACATTATTTTTTCTTATGTTTACCTGCAAAAAGATCCATATCTTCTAAAAGGCGTCCTATTCGTAAACTTTTGAAAGTAGTAGTGTACTTATTTTGCAATGCCAAATTAGTGCTTAAAGGAACTATAGCTCTATCAAAACTGTCCTAAAAATATTGTGTAGAACAGATACTATATAATTCATTATTAATCAATCAAATCATAGTTGCACTTAAAGTATCAATTTTATTGCTTAAAATATAAAAAAAAGCACTTTTTTAGAAATAAATATAATGTCATAACTTAATATTATCTTACATTCATAGACCGAGGGGGTAGATCACTTTGTTCTTTTGGCAAATACTCAGATAACCAACCTCTCTCTTCATTTTCATATTTTCCAGATATACCCATTATATTGGATAGTTTTAGTTTAACTTGACAAAATTGAATTATAGTTATTTAATCCATTAATAATTAAATGAGTACTTAAAATATTATAGTAATAATTACTGTCTTGCATAGTCTGTAAATTAGAGTAATCTTTTGGTGGTTGATGTGTTTCATTCTTCCAACGTTTATATATCTGCTGGACATATATTCCATGTGTAATGTGTTTGTTAAATCTGAAAATTAATATAATCATTATCAACATACTGTGTTATTTATAAAAATTTAGAAAATGACTAGTATTAATTCTTGTTAGTCACAAATTTGTATTAAAAACATTCTTAAATCAATATGATAAACTACAAAAATAAATTATATTTTGTAAAACTAAAATTATCATCTCAGAAAAATCTAAATATTAAATTTAGAATTAATATATCTATAGTTGTAACTTTATATAGGTCTGTAATTTATAAGAAAAAAAATATTTAAATACATAATTTAATATAAAATTTCATGATTTAAAGAAGTCTATGCTTTAACCAATTTCTATCATTTTTATGTTGTTAAAATTCAAAACAAAACACATTTTTTAATTATTAATATGTTAAGTTTTTAACATTTTCTGCTTATTAAACTATTAAAGTGTTTAACTAGACATTTGCCAACAATGTTTCAAATTTATCTTCAAAAGTCATAGGTGATCATGTGATTGAGTGTAAGTGACATTACTAGAAAGAAATTTCTTGATTTAGCTTTAACTTAACAACAAGATTTGATAATGCACTTTTTTTAATTTAAACTTGTTAACCACTTAACAACTAAGACTATAAATCAGTTACTATGTGCATTTTTCTTTTCTATGGTTTTGTATTTAAATAAAAAACAAATAAATATTCAGTAATTAATTATCAATAAACCAATAAGTAGTCTCTTAGTCAGTTTAGAATCTTGAAAGCTTACTCAGCTTATCCCAATAACATAAAATACAATTAAAAAATAATCCTATACTAATTGTTTTCAATATTTTAATTTATAAAATGAGCAAATTTTTTGCAATTAATATTTCACCATCTAGATATAATTCTCTAATTAGCTTATTATCAATATAGTTTTAATAACCCATATTTGTTTATCATTATCTACTGAGAATACTATAACAATGGTATTAAGCTTAAGCAATAAATATAGAAAAGATATATTTATAAGTATAAAAGTTTTTAGACCATTTTAAAATAACTCTCCTCTACTTAAGTAAATATTTATTTTTTAATTTATGATTATTAGTATACATAGGTATAACTATAAATACATACGTAAATATTACGAGTAAATTAATTAGTCCTGGTCAATTTTTAATAAGTATCTTGTTGTTTTATACAAAGACAGTATATTATAGAAATATTATGTTCTCACTTTTTTAAATGTTAGAACAAGTGTTTTCTAAAAAAATTTATTGGGTAATAAATAATTATTGTAATTAAATACAAATCAGTATTACATTCTTTTACTCAGAATAAAATTAACAAATTACTTTACTACAATAAATAACTAATAATAGTAATAGTATTATAATTAATAGTGTTTGATAGTTTAGTAAAATTAAACAAATTATTAAAAATATATTTGTTATACTTACAAAGACTTAGGAGAAGTCAAGATGTTAACAAAAACTTTAGGACTCATTTTATTTTATTCTTTTTTTTTTACTACGAAGTTATTGATTTTTCGATAACTTTTTGCGTAATGACCATGTAAAGTATGAGATAATAATAATCTCTGTAGACTATACCACACCTACTTGCAAGTTAGGGAATAAATCATGAATCATTATAATTATACAGTCCAAAAGTTTTTTAATAAGGCAATTAGCTAACACTTGTTAATTTAAGTTCAAAGATTATTTAACGGTAATTATTTGTTTATAGATAATACTTTGGTTTGTGAATGACGATTAAAATATTAAATGCAAGACTATTTAAAAAAAGCAATAGATTAACAATTGACATTAAATTGTAAATTTGTAATACCTACATATTAGTATATTACATAGTAAGGTCTAAGGAAATTTTAGAATGTTTAGAATGTTATCATAATATCAAATATCTACAATATGACTATATGAGTGTATGACAGAAATATGATGGACTATTCACAGCTGTACTAGTACTATACATACAGATAGACGATAGTACTATGGTGTGTAGATCACATAGGAGTACTTTCTATTGTCGTGGTATGTTATCAGCAATTTTTATCGTAAACATAGATAATAAAGAAATTTCAAATTTATTGTATTACAATATTAGATTAAATTATTTTTTCTATAGTATTGGCTAATTGGCTAATGACAACATGATAAAATTGCCATGTATCAGTAGACCTGCAACGGCTGCAACTTACATTTGCCAGCAGCTATGCATAATATGCTTATAAGTATTAAAGTATATAACTAATAACAGTAATAACTGTACAATATTATGCACAACTACTATATAATGCGAGCATACAGAATTATTAACTAAGGTTAACTACACCCACAAAGTTTTGGATTACGTCTACAAAAATCTTCTGAGACCGTATTTTTAACTGAGACACCGCGGCGGTCGGCGATAATAAAATTTATGATTAGCGTTCTATAGTTACCCAGTTGGGCCGTAAGTTGGGTGGGGCTTAAATTCCCAAATATGCAGTATACAAACATTTCAGAAATATCTAAAGGAATATGTTTATGTTTATATAATATGTTTTATTTTCTAACGAAATATTTGAAATTAATTTTTTTTTAACACTTAATTAAGGTATTAATGATATTGATAAATAGTAGATAAACATTACTTGAGTTATGAATTTATAGAACAATGCCCATTATTTTTTGCTTAATGCAAAACATATTTTATCTATCTTCTTTAACACGTAGATCGAATAAGGTCTTAATTAATTCAATTTGTACCTTTTATTTTTCAATTATTAACATTTTTTATTGATAAGATCTTTTTGGCTTTTTAATGTAATTTTTTCTTTTTTTTTTTGAGATTTTAATGCATGTATAAAAGTTCTTTATGCATTTTTCTGGATTTAAAATGTAATTTTTTTTGTTTTTTTTGGAATTTTAAAGATTTTTTAATGGATTTAATTCATAACTTTAATGCCCTAATTAGTAACCATTTATTACAATTAATATTCGTACAAAACATACATGTCTATCGCCTATGTAGCAATATTAGTTGATTATAAAACATTAATTGTCGCCGAAATTCTGAAAATATAAATAGATAATGGCAATAACATTGTATAAAGTAGGTATTTCGTATCAAATCGGCAACTGGATGGAGAACGAAGACAGACGAATGACGATGGGTATATAATACGTATTACGAACTTTTAAATTATTTTATTCTTAAAAATCAAAAGAAATATGTTTGGATTTTGAATGCATTTTAAAAAAGTAGAGTAGAAAACATTTTTCATTAAAGATTCTATTATTTTCCAATATCTATTATCGATCATTGACTGTCAGCCGATTATATTTAGTGAAAAAGTAAAAAGGTTAATATGTTATTTATATACATACTGTTAAAGTGTTAATGATAATTAAATTATTTAAATTTAAAAAATAGATAACACATCTGCCATAGGTTATTAAACAGCTGTGATATGCTTTTTGTTTCATGATTTTAATCAAAGATAATTTCTTATCATTCCGTTTTTTAACATTCGTTTTACTTCAAAGTTACTCTAAATGTAAAGACGTAGAGTACAGATTTTACAATTTTACATGTCATTTTTCATTAACTAAAATTATCCTTGTAGATCAACGTTTTGCGATATTGTCGTTATGGGACACACTTGGTCGGAATATGTTGCTCCAGAAACGACCCCGTTGCGAGACAAACCATCGCAGTTTGAACCTCATTTTGGTTTTTCGACGGAAAGACGAGAGAAAAGTAATATATCATCCAAATGTTGATTATATAAATATCGACATGCTTTATAAAATATATGTAAATCTCAAACTGAATTCTTCTTCAGAAATGATCGCTTCTTTGGCAGAAATGGAATCTGCTAAAGTTCCGTTGGATGCCAGAGACTTTTGTGCACATATGTTGTTGAATCTAAGAGGTTGTATCAGAGAACATTTCCCATTCAATCACCATTGTCATCACGAGAGAGAAGAATATTACGAATGTCAATATCACGAGTAAGTCATACTTATTAGGATTGCAGACTCTCAACAAAGTTATAAGTTTAGAATATGTGTTACTCTATTTGCCCTTTGCTTCTTCATCGAACTATATGCCTTCATGATTATCCAGATTTTACATATTTTAAGTCTAGATTCTACTAGGTGGACCACGGGAATAGGGACAAAAGTAGGTGGGTTTTTCTCAACATTGAATATGAATAGGAAAGTCTAGATAAGCTCATTCGATTCGTCAGATAATGCCGTTTATTGGTTACTATGACGCAGTTGAATGTCGTTCTCCGTGTGTTTGCGTAGAACGTGTTTGTGAAAAACAATAAATCCAGTAGTTAAGGTGCAGGGCACATTTAGATTTCATGTCGTGGTGCTGTTCCCATTTGGGACTAGTTGTTTTTTTATTTATTTATTGTCCCTGTTGTTTGAAAACTATCAACCCAATTTATAATTGTTTTCCCATTGGGAATAGCACAAAGACGTTCGACACCAAAGTGAAATCTGAATGCGTGCTGCACCTAAACTATAGATTCATTGTTTTTACAAATGCTTTGTACCTAAACATACAGTGAAAGATACTCCACTACACCAGTAACAACTAAACGGCAATATCTGACAAGTCTAATGAGCTTATCTAGACCTTCCTATTTACATTTAATGTTGAGAAAAACCCACCTACTTTTGTCCCTATTCCCGTAGCCCACATTGTATATGATATATACTTAACTCACACTTTTTTTGTAGTACTTATAAAATAAACAAGTTGATGAAATATTGTTTCATTTTAATAGCAATTATATAATATCTTTACTAATTCTTCTACTTCTGTAGATAAATTCTAATTATATACATGTAAAATATCCTATACATCTTTGGATATATATCTTTGATAATTTAAACATAACTAATTTATAAAGTGTTTTCAATTATAAATTTTAGTTATTTGGATCGCATGAAGGACTATGAAAGAGAAAAGCGATTATTACAAAGAAGACATCAATTGAGACAAGGAGGTGCACCAAATGCAGAAGAAGGCACTGTCAGTGCTTAAATGGTATAAATATCATTTAATAATTTAGGTAATTATAATTTCTATTTAGACTATAGACTATAGTTACATTTTGTTAGATTTAAGTATTTATTTAAACTCGTGTATCTAATTATATCATGATTGAAATAATATTTAAATCTAACGTTTGATATTTTATTTGTTTCATAATAAAATTATTGTATCAATACTTTTTGAATATTTATGTATTTTATTTAGTTATACATTTACATAATTTCATTGTTTTTGTATGTTGTAAAACACTACACTTGTTAGTATTTAAAAATTAATCTACAACAATTAATTTTTAAATGTCACAAAATGAATATTTTTATTATTTTATGGATGGTTTTATGTTTTTAAGCATAATTAAATATTTTAGTCTGGATAAGACAGATAAGACACTGTATTTCAAACTAATAACTTATATGTTGCTAATCTTCTACTTTGTGAATGTGTCAACTAAAACTAACGATATTTAAGTAAAACATTGAAGTTGGTTATAATCTAAAATATGAAACAAATTTTTCAGCGTCAAATGTCATTTTCATTAATTGAGGAAGAATATCATGAGAAAAATATTTTAACCTATGTTCTACTATTACTATATCAATGTCATCTTCCAGTCTTTTTTAATATAATATTTTTATTTTGTGTTTCTGTTACGTCAATCAATTAACTATTGGATTAAAATCTACAATGTACAATTGTGTAGCAAAGTTTATTTGTAAAAACAACATTATTTACCAGGTCATTTGTTTTTTTTCAAAACCAATGCATTTTGATGCTCACTTATTGTTATGTGTCTTATAAAAATTCCACGATTTTCTTTTTATTAAAGCATTCATCATTATTTCTTTTAAATAGTAGTGGTTAAAATATTCTTAAAATTTACACAGTTCTTTGAAAACTACATTTTAGTAAAATATAAATTATGTAAAAAAATCTATTTTTATTATTGACATTTAAAAAATGTAATTTTTCAAATATTCAACATTGTGTTATTAATACAAACTAATAAACTGTTAAAATTGGAATACTTACTGTTATTATTTTATAATTCTATAAATTAAAAAATGGTTTTATTATATTAGCTCAGTCAGATAAAGTATATTGTTTTATGATATAAAATTTACAATTTAATTATTTAAAGTATACAATTTTTCAAAGTTATATACGAGTATTGATTAATAATATTAAAATAAAAAATGTTGAATTCATTCAGCATATTTTATTAATAGTTATTATTTAAAAGTCAGATTAAAAATTCAACTAATTTAGATAATATTACGTTTAATGATATTATAATGAATTTATCATTAAAATTATAATTAAATGCAATCTCTAAATGTTTACCTTCTAGAAATTAAATTGCTGCACTAAACTGAGTATGTAAAACTAGATTGGTTTTAAATATGAATAAATATTATAAAATCCGGTCTTTAAAAAACAATTAATATTACTTAGAAAGTTGATTTAAGTTGATACAAAGCTTCTAAATAACTTTCTATTTTAATTTTATATTGTCACAATAACAATTGTATTATAGTCACATTATTTACTTATGAGTAATGACTTATATTATTTTATATACCGTTTTATATTTGTGAAAGTTAATATTAAGTCTTAGTATTTATTATTATTATTATCATTATTAAATAATTTGAAGTTTTATATTACCAAACATGAAATGAAATGATATATCATACTTTTCTTACTATATTTATAGTCCTTAAAAAATCTGAATATTATTGGGAATTCTTCATATTTTGCTCACCTCAACATAAAATTTGTGATATTTAATTATAAACTATTGATCACTTAAAAAAAAATGTAGTAAATTATATATGTCATATTTCTTTATACTTATAAAAACTATTTTAAATATTTTTACATACCTATTAGATTACTTTATTATTTCTAATCAATTATTCTGTTCTTATAATTATTTTATAAACATTTTACAAATACATGAAATACATTAAAAAAAAATAATATTTATGAATTGAAAAAGATTGTATTTTAAATTTTGGATTATAACTTATTTAGCACAACATAATATTAACTAATATTTTATGTATAATTTTTTTTAAATATTGAAACAAAAATTCTACTATGAGCATTTTAAATTATACCTTTTTAACCAACTAATGGTATTTATTTATTTACAGAATTAATAATAAAATGATAATAAACATTTGAATGTTTGAATCTAATTAAGGATAAGAAATTAAGAATTTAAAATATTTTTCAAAAAATTTGTTTATACAATGTACATGCTATTAATTTAAGATAAGCTGATAGATGAGAAAATAAAAAATATCTCTTCAAAGTTTAACTTTTCTTGTTAGTAGGTTGAATAAAAATGTATAAAATATACAATAAATTACTTGTAAGTGAATAAATCTTCATAATTTCTTCCTATTGGTTTGAAAAATAATTGTATTTATTAATTTATTATTAAAGATATAGATAATCTAATAAATAATAATGTAAGTATAATATAAAAGTCATTTAAATTAAATTAAATATTTTACACATCTAAAAAGTATAAAAATTATTATAACAAACTTAAAAATTTACAATAGAAAATTATAACATAAATGTTGTTTAAGTATAACAATGATTACACAGTATATTATAATGTTTGTTAAAACTTTTTTTTTCCAGAAAAATATTGAATATAATGAAGAAACACATGCCAATATATGAGCAATAGGTATGTTTAGATTATGCTATAGATATTTTGTTCTGATTATATGTTATATAAAATGGTAAATAAAGCTCACTTTGTATTGATATAAATGGAATATGTACTACTTAATTTTTAACTACATCATGAGAATATAAACAAATCAAAGTATGAAAGAAAAAAAATACAATTTTATGTATAATATATAGCTTAATAAGTACCTCCACTAAATGAATAAGTTCTTCTAGTTGACATCCCGTCAATAAGTACTGGTTTCAAATGGTGCTAGACAAGTTTGAAAATTAATACTTCTATGCACCAATACGAAACCAGTATTCACCGACGTTTAACCATTCGAATTCTGAATACATAGCTCTCGTTATGTAAACAATTTATAGAATATACTTTGATACGTCCAAAAGAAGAGTCTTGTGAATACTGTGCTTGTCCTCCTGGAATCCTTTGACTTATATACGCAAAATGGTTTTGTTGTTCTATGTTTACTTATGCTTATTATCGCATATAGAGGGAAAAAAGCGTGCAGCAGCAATGTTATATAAAATATAACAGTAGGTACTTATTTGTTTCCGTCTGCTTGATTCATAAAAATCATATTATATTCTTAGGTATTATTATTGTTTTAAAATATCTATCCTTAAAACTCACCATGCGAGTACAATTTCCTCAGGGTTGATGGGTGGGAACACGTGGTAATGCAAGACGACTGTCGAAACTCGATACCTGGTGGCTTACGGTCTCATACCACCGGTGTCTGGTAACAATATTATAAGGTTTCGTATGTTGGTCAATGAATAAAACTCGTTTTTCTTTCTTTTTTTGTTTTAGTTAAATCTAGCGAAAATTTTTAACTGAACGCTTGTTTTCATTGTTCTAATCTTGTGATGGGCGATTTGTCTAACTGTAAAATATAATATATTAATATAATAGCCTTGGAACTATGTAAAATATATTAATAAAATATTGGTATTTTCTATCTCTTTGTTAAAAAAAAATTTAAAAAAAAATTGGTATTCGATTGAATAATCAACATATAATATTTAGTTTTGTTTCGTAAGTCTAAATTATTATATATCAATACTGTTAAATTAATTTTATAAAAAAAACATTAACTGCCAATTATTTATCTTTAGATAAATGAAATTAATTAGTGAATCTTTTAAGTATTGTACACTCCGTATTAAAATTGAATGTAGTTACGATGACGATATAATTGATATGGTTTATTGATTTGAATTACAGTACTACTAACAAAATTAAATAATATAACGCGACGCGCGTATATTTTGTATAGACGTAAAACTTATGGCGCACACGATTAACTAAGAGACAATAACGCAACTATTTGTCATAGTTTATATAAAAAAAAAAAAAAATGTTTGATGTAACGTGTGTATGTCATATGTTATGAGTACCTATGTATAAACCTATATTTTGTACGAAAATTGCCAAATTTTCTTATTTCCATTGGGTTTGATCATAAATATATATTCATATACATTTACAATGACCTTATAACCTAATATATACAAAACACTATTAAACCAATTATGTCCACTGAAATTTCTCAAGGCTATCGGAACTTATTTAACAACTAATATCGATATGTATCCATGTATTTCGGTATACAATGACTAGTTGTTTTTGTTTGAACAACTTTATTCTGTGGAATAATCGTAGCACAATTTGCTAAAACATAAAACTATCACTCAATTTTATATTAATAACACTGAGGGTCTAAAGTTTGATCTTATGATATCTCTTAAATTACATTAGCTAATGTTAATCGTTTATTTATGAAAGTTAAAATAATTATTAAATTAGATTGATCGTCTATCCGTATAAATTATTAGGTTTGTACGTTAAAATTTAAAAATATTCTATTAATAAATATAAAATAACAATTTTTTAATAGTGATATAAAATTCTAAGTATTAACTATCAAGCATGTATATAATTATCATTAGTATAGGGATTTTCTTTGTTTAATGTAAATTAAACAGTTTTCTTAGTACCTACAACGTTCTTAATACGAAACTTTAAATTTACATTTTTTCGTATTTTAAAATAATTTATTTCATTCTATTCCTGAAAATATTAATGGCAATTTCACCAATTTTGTGTACTAAGAAATTGTTACAGTAGTATAACTAAGGTTTATTTTTAAATATTATTTAATTTAAAATTATGCATTTTTTTTTTACCTTTCGTCGTGTGGTAAAATTTTGATAAAATCTCGGCTGTAAAGCACGTTAAAACTTGACGTGTTTTGTTTTTATGAAATGTGAATAATATGTATTTATAAAAATTAAATATTTTGACACCCACTGCAAATGATCATCTCATGTATGTTAATTTAACAAAATTTTACACGAGAAAAACTAAATTATAACTTACATAAATAATAACAAAACATATGCAGCGCTCAGGTATGAAATAATATAATACATTGCTCCACTTCGCTCCACGGGTAGAACTATAATAAGGTACCTACACACATTACAGATTGCGGTGCTCTCGCGACTTCCCTTATATTATTTTCGTAGGTATACGTGTACGCAATTCACGAACCCACCCCCTGCGGGTTTTTTTAATAATCCACAACATTCCACCGGAGCACCGGACCATTATTATTATTATTATTACCATTGTTGTCGTTGTTGTTGCATATATAGCGCCGCTCAGAGGCAGACTCTACCTAGTACCTACCACCTTATAATATTAAAATATAATGTTTACCGGGGAGATATTACATATGTACAATAATAATATGAATTCGTGCAAATAAACTAAACAATTATTTTATATAGTCTAAAAACTATACAGTACAACATGAGAAATAATAATTTTAATAATAAAATAATTACGATGTATAGTAGTTTTCAGTTCGAATTTTTAACGATTTATTAATTCGCAGATATAATATATATTATTGTTATTATTATTATTATTATTAGTAGTAGTAGTAGTAGTAGTAGTAGTAGTAGTAGTAGTATAAACTAATATAATATGACGTTACCTTTATTTATATTGTATCAAGGATATATTATAAGAAATCTACTTATTTACTATTTTAATATTACCAGCGACGAGCACGATATCCTGTATGGCCGGCGGTCTTTCTTCGGGGGTGTAAACGCCGCCGTGAACAAATGAACGACGAGTCGAGGGATAGAGAAACGGCAAACGACAACGACGAAAACGATCGGACTACGACTGAACGGCACACACCGCGGGCGCGCGCACACTCACGCGCGATCGGTTTTTAAGGTTTTTTTTTTCTCCTCTTCTTTTCTCGCTCGCTTTTCCTTCAGCACACGCCGCCGTCGGACGACTCGCCCGATCGGTGCCGGGTGCCTGATGAATGAACTCGCACACCCGCCGGAGCGCGCCCGGCGACGGACGCGTTTCGGTGGGAGTACTGGGAGTTTCGGACCAACGGGCAACGGCGACAATCGACTGGCGGGAAAATAATGTCGATTATTTTTTTTTCATCATCATTTCATTATTATTATTATTATTATTATTATTATTATTTATCCATCGCTTCTTGTTCTTTGCGCGCGCACTCACACACATACACACTGAAATATGCGATCGCACGCATATCATATAATATTATACAGGTTGATTCATCAATAGTACCTATGCTCATTGCTCACCCCCCTTTTCTTACTTAAATAATAAATTTGTTAATTATATTCTGATTTTTTGAGTAAACAAAAGAAGCCATACTTTTAATTACGTATTTAGATATTTATACTTGAATTGAGGAGTGTTCCGCGTGCGTTTGTTTTTTAAACGAGCTCAACCGACATCTGACTGTAAATAGCAGACGATATTGTTAAAAATGTTAATCTTCTTAAAAAATTTAAATCCGAATGGGTAGTTTCCCAGTTATTATACATTATAAATTAATAATAGGTTTGAGGTCTATAATATAATATGGCAGTAAGTATTAGATTAAATATTGCATATATTTTATATTTTTGTAAACCATTTTTGAGGGTTACATAGTTTTTAGTATGAATATTTTATTAGTTCAGAAACTATACTAGTTTAAATTTTGATTTAGAGATAAAACAATGTTTTCAAAAAAAAATTTTATAATTCACAGTACAAAAAGGTAGATTAACATTTGAAAAAAAAATCAGAAGAACGTATTGCCACAAGACACTTTTAATATGGTACTAAAAACCTAAGTATTTTAAAATATGAACTATAGGCTAAAAATAGTAAGTATACACGAAAATTTCAATCAAATCAGAATTTGAACATGTTCACGATGAGTATGCATAGTTGATCACCCTGTATATAAGTACCCGCCGAAAAATCGTACACAGCTTACACACGGGTCCGCGCGCGCGCAGATTACACAATATATATTATTATTATTATTATTATTATTATTATTGTTATGGGGGAGAGAATGTGTGTGCGCCGAGATCCCTTTTGGCAGACCTTTTGTTTGCAGTGGCGTTCTGGAGTCGTCGTCGGTGGCGGGGATATTCGCAGCTATATTATAATACACTATGTATAGTGACGCGCGTGTATAGTGTTTCGGAGTTCGCTCACACGAGAAGCCAAAAAGGGGTGTGGAAAGGGCGACGGAGAGTTAGTGAAAAAAATAAATAAAACCGGTAAAATAGCAGCACCCCGCTCCACTAACCTTTTGCGTGTTTATATAAATTATGTATTATAGTATTATTATTTACATATACGTACGTATATAAATTATGTAAACTTCTCACTGCAGTGGTGCAGCGGCGTCCGTTTCTAATATCCGTCTAAATTCTAGACCTATTTGTACTTAATGTAGGGAAGGATGGCATTTGCATATTATACTTTTAAATTTCTTATTAAAAAATAATGTATCAGTAAATTATTAGTATCTAGCGTTTTTTTATAAATGTATTTTAAAAGGATATTTTTATAACACCCACAAGTGTTATTGAATATATTCTAACCTAGTAACGCACTTAGGTACGCACGTGGTATATTGTACGTTAAAAATAATCTATTATTTACTCTATTGTTTTTAATATTTTATTGAAGCGACTTATTATTACACTTAAAGGTAAAAACATTTGTTGAGCCCTTCAACAGACTTTTAAGTGATTTTAAAGCAAGTTATTATGAGTATTTTAGATATTTGGAATTGCTCATAAATTGTTTTCAAATTGTAATAGGTATTAAACAAGTCATTCGTGGAGCTTTAAGTAATATCTTTACGACCTTACCATTTAATTTGAAGTAAAATAACTGTAATTATTTTAAAAAAACAGTAAAATGGGTTATTCTAAGCGTAAAATGTACTATTGTGCGTTAACTGCTATAAATGAAGACAACACATGCGGGTTCCGACGTATAACATCCTGTTAAGAGATTGAATACTCAATTTCAACTACATTTTAAGAAAAAAAATATAGTACTTATAAATATATTAATATGTAACCTTTTTTTATTAGTAATTAATATATAAATATAATATAAATGTATAATAAAATATGTAAAATTCGTTCATATTAAATAATTTTATCAATATTAATTTAATCAGAAATAGCTTATAACTCCAGAAAAATGAAGTGCATATAAAACTGAGAAAATTCCTTAAAAGCCATATAGTATTGGGAGCTAACTCTCTTGAAGACTATATGATGATATTCACATGAGATACCTATCAGATATGATTTCGAATTGCGATATATAGATAATTATTATAATAGTATAATGTTGTATACCTATTATATTACTATTATATGTATTGGTAAATATATTTATGGGTATACTATATACGCATTACCCAAAATATGTATATTCAATCTAAAAAATGTTTTCTCGCTCCACTCGAATATTTTTTTCTTGCTAGTTATTACTCTTGAAAAATTAACCTTATCCCTTAGGTACACCATGTTTATATCTATTAACTTCTAATATATTACTAGAAAATTAAGGACCGGTAACTTGAAGTATCAATGTCCGTTCGTTCGGCAAACATTGTTATCATATATTACATATTTTTGTTTCAACATTGTGTCATCAAAATATTCAAAATTAAAAACAATAACCGATTTTTAAATTAAATTTTTTTTGAGTATTATTACTATTCATAGTTTTATAATGTATTAATAAATAAGTAAACCTCAACTTATACTCATTATTACAATAACAATAATTTATAAGCAAATCTATAAATAAACATTAATAAACCATTCAATAGACTTGTGAGTTGAGACTAATAAACACTTAAGAGGACGTCACGGTAGTCATTTTCAATGGTAAAAACTTGTTCACGGATAACAAACAAAACGGCATCAAAAAGTGGTTTTAGAGTAAAATCCCTACTATATTAACCTAGTATTGGTGGTTATAAAAATTCACAATACCGCAAGAAATACATTTGCTGGGTGTTATAAATTACATAATTATACAGATTGAGAACCATGGATTGAGTGTCCATACTCCATATTATGTATTTTAATAATATATATTTTTCAAAATGTAATTTAATAAATTTATTTTAAAATACATTAAATACAGCTTATACTGATAATAATCATTAAAAATTTTTCCTAAGAACTATAAAATAAGTTTTATTTGATTTTCAAGTTATTTTAACAATTTATACGTTGAGTATACGATGAAAATCGAAAATCTGCTGACGAGTATACGGCGTATAACCGCGTACCCATACCAATATACCACTGCTTATACATTTATTATTTCAAATTTTTGGAAATGGAATTTAGACAGGGATCGTAATGGAACGATTGCGGTTATCTGACCTGCATGATGATCCCTATCATTTTAATTCACAAAATGTTTTTAACGAATTATGACTCCGTCATATCTATATGTATAGTACCTCAATAGGTATAGCTTGTTTAGATATTTTCATTAATGTAAATCGAGAGTTAAAAATAATAAAATTTAAAGTAGAAGGGTGGGTGTCATTTGGAAAACAGAAGTTTGTATTTCCACAGGTAATTCTGATTAATTATTTTTTTTTTTTGTGTCATTTAAAGTTAAAATGTATACAATATACAATATAAGATACTTAAACGAAGTTTACTTACGATTTTAGTTACTATTTATTATAAATTAAAAATATTATTTGCAGGTACTTAAACGTATACCTATTATTAATTACTATTTTTATTCACTTATTAATATTGATTTAAAATGCAGTTTTTTCAGAAAAAATTAATTTAACCTACTGTATTAATAATAATAAAATAAATTACATCAATAAAGCAATAAAAAATAATCATAAAATATATTTATATGGGCTGATAGGCCGTCTTCGTTCAGAATCATTTTTCGTTTGCAATGATTTATTATTGAATTCAAATTTCTCGCATACATTATAGTGAATTATTTAATGACGAAGTACACTCGATAGCACCTTTTGTGCAGCAGAGAGATTATTTGAAATTTGAACCAGTTTATAAGTATATACTTCAGTAAATGGCTATTTCCTGTGAGTCTTTATTTTATATCATATTCCAATAAAATCTAACACTTTTTTCACGTATCAGTTTATTAATTTAATAAAGTGTTTAAGCTAAATAGTATATTATAGTGTCTATTGCCTATACCTATTAGTTTATACATTTTTTAATTTTGTTATTCCATGTTAGCTGTTTACCTATTACCTTTAACCTTACATCATATCATATGATCTAAGCCTTTAACCTTGCAACTATGTTTTTTCAATCAGCGTTTTATTATCTAATCGACATAATATATTAGCCGTATTTGTTTTTGATTTATATTCATATACGTACTTATATTACACTTATTACAGTGTATATATTTTTATTATAATTTTGATCTCGCATATTGTATTTAATATTTATATCAAACCTTACTTGGACAATAATATCTCCCTATATTTAGTGATTAGTCTTTGGTTTATAGTAATTTAAAAATGACGTGTAGAGATTAAAGAAAGATAATAATATACTGCCAGATATTTGTTTAATATCTAAATAGCATAATAAGCGTATACCTAGTTACACTTTCTCCATGTCTTATGTACCGTTTATTAGTTATATTTATCTGTAATTATAAAAATAATGTATAGTATTCTTTCCTTTACTGGTTGAAAAATATGGTATATAAGGTATACAAAAATTAAAAAAATAATGCATTTAAAATTAGGTGAAAATGACTAACAGAATATCCGTACTTGGTGTCTCTGTCTTGTACAAGTACACAACATAGCAAATTTTCGCTCAGCTGTTCACGTTTAACTTTGTTAATTTAGTTATTACTTATTAGAGTGAATTAACTGACCTAGTTGGTTAGTTTAGGTCAGGTTAGGTTTCAATTATTTCTATTTTTAATTGAATTGTGAATGTGATAATGTAAATATAGTGCCATAGAAATTTTCAAGAACTTACTTAAAAATTTAAATATTATAAAACTTCAACATACAATCACAAAAAAATGTTCTTAACTTAAAATTTTATAATGAATTAATCATCACTATTATTAAAACTAATTAACGTGTTAACTGCTATACTAAAATATTTACTATGACGTTATGTTATAGCTGTTGTGCACTTGTCGAACGTTGTTTCCTTTTAACTACAGAATTGTAGTTATAATTTATAAATATTTAAGTAACTTTATGTGATTAATGGCTACCTATACAATATAATATAATACACAGTGTTATATTTTATTAAGTGTGTATATAAACGTATTTATTTGCGAGTTGTCGTTTTATGATTTTTATTGAAATATAACACGTGAAAATATGGAGCTGTGATGGAAGTATAAAATGAATTACTATTTTTATTATACATATTATACCTAATATCGTATTTCAACAATATATACATTACAATATTTAGAACATTTAACAT